GAATGCACAAGTAATAGACACGTGAAGCCAAGTTATGGCAAAATAACAGCATATAGTAGTAACCAAAAGAAGACATTCGAAGCATGATGGTCAAGTTTCAGTATTTTAACAATAAAGAAGAAGATCAGAAGCATGCAAAGAACTCAGAACCAAAATAGTCAAGAGAATTGAAGCATACTGCAATTTCAACTGACGAGTTGCACAAACAACTTCAAAGAAATTGAATAATCCCTAAAGAGACTAGGGTTTTCAAAACTCAATCGAATTTAGAGGAGATAAGCAGATAAACAAATAAACAGGTTCAGAACCTCGGATAAGCCCACAATTAGGGTTTTCAACATGCTAACTCAGATAAAAATAAGGCAAATCAAGCGACCATTAACAAACAGACCAAGAAACTCAAACAAAATCCCCAAGAAAATTAGGGTTTTCAACATGCTAATATAACACAAACAAAACACAGTAAAACATGTCGAGAATCAGAGAAGAGATTTGAAATAACTTGACATGAAACCCTAGTTGAAGAATAAAGAATTTCTGAAAGAAAAAGTTAAGAATCTTCAAGAAAAACGCATAGAAAGTTCACACACACATAGATCCAAGACAGATCTAAAATAAATCGAAGGAACCTTAGAGATTAGGGTTTCGTAAGAAACCCAGGTGACGAGATAGGCTTTGGAAACAATTGATCTGAGCAGAGAAGTCGAAGATCGAACTCGAATAGCCACGACCGGCCGGACAAAGGTTAAAGACGACCGGAGAACAGTCATCGAACAAAGGCTTGGTCGGAACCCTTCAAGATCTGGTCATTGGACCTTTAGAAGCGAGCACACAGAAGCTATGAGAGGCTAGTATAGGCCTCCGATGAGCCTGAGAATCCATAGATTAGGGTTTCGAGGAGAGGCGACGGCTAGGGTTTGGGGTAAGTTGAGAGAGAGTTGAGAGAGGAGAGGGTTCAGAGGCGGCGGTCGAGAAAAAATGAGGTAGGGTTTTAAGGTCTTTTGAATTAAAAAAGGAAAGGAAAGAGGAGAGCCGTTGATCTAAAGGATCAACGGCTGGGATTAAACGGGTTAAATGGGGAACGGGTTTGGGTATGATAGAAAGGGTATGGGTCGGGTAGACGTGTTAATTGGGCTGGGTAATTGGGTTTTTAAATTGGGGCTGAGATGGAGTGCCAAATTGGCTAAAATTGAAATGCAATAAGGCCAAATTGTAAATAGCCAATTTTCCCCTTTTAATTTTATAAAAATGGTAATACTGATTTTAAAAACAAATTAAACGCACTGGATAAATAAGTATTATATAAATATTAATTAAAAAAAATGCTGGGACTAATTATATAAACGTAAAATGTCATAAATCACAAGATGGGCTATAATTGCAATTACATGCAATTTAGCTTTAAAAATTCCAAATAAATTTGTAAAAATATACAAAAAATTACCTTAATTATATTTGGTGTAAATATGAGAATAAAATAAGTTATTCACAAAAAAAATGATAATTTTGGGAATAATTATTGGATTTTGTACTGTTAAAATTGACAATAAATTGATTTAAAATAAGAAAAAATACCAAAACTCTTGGGAATGCTTATATATGCATGTATATGCTATTTTGAGGATATTTTGAGTACATAAAAATACTTAGGAAAAAATTGGGTATCAACAACAGGTGCAGCATGTTGTTGGTAATCTGGAATGTCTCCGCATGTATGGTAGGAACCGCAATTTCTGTGGTCGGTTATCAGCAGTTGGTTGCTCCCAATCATAAAGAGCAGCTTCTGGCACAAGAGGTGCTACCACTCTGACGTTTGGGTTATCTCGATCATTCATGTTGTTCCCGTTGACGTTGTTTACATCATCCATTTCAATTTCAATTTGTTCACTTTGTTTCAGTTGTTTGCTCTTCTTGTTAGCCCGGCTCAATGTCCGGAATGCTTTCTCGGCATCTGAGAGTCCTTCAAAGAGTTCACCAGTTCTCGAAGAGCTTCTAGGCATGCACCTGAGTTACAGAAGAGTTCAACCGTGAGAATTTCAATGGAAAGCATTTACACCACAGAAAGTTTATCAAGACTAATAATCCTAGCAATTATTCAAAGTTGCAATAAATAACACCGTTAGTTCCCCGGCAACGGCGCCAAAATTTGATCACGCCCAACTACGCCTTATAAAAAGGACTAAGCGGCCGCCGCTAATATATAATCCGGTTCAGTCCAGAGTCGAATCCCACAGGGAACTAACCTATTTACTACAACTTTTAACACTGCTAATGAATAGCTCAAACAATCCCCGGATGCAATATTTTTAATGGATAATGAGTAGAATTTAGTTAACTAAGGAAAAATAGTAATAAAACTAGCAATAATCAAGAAATAGAGTTGAATTCAATGGTAAAATGGTCTAGGGTTATTGATTTCTCCAATTGTCGGATTAATTCCTGACACGTTAGCTATAATCTCGCCGTAATACTCTATAAGAAATATGAGTTCTGGGTTACCGCAATTATCTCTCGATCAATTACGATAATTTAATAGAAGCATTCTCTCGAACTACTCTAGTTAACAATTTATGCAACTCAGAATTATCCCACCAAAGCTTCGTTATCTCTAACCCTGCTTTTAAATTCAAGTAATTAATCTCTTAACTTATCCGGAAGTGGTGTTGTTCAACAACAATCTAACCCAATGTTCTTTCTCAAGCAACACAAGGTAAATAGACACGATTAATCAAGGGCCCTTTCAATTAATCACAGGAAAACACATAGTTGAACAATTATATAGAGTAAGAAACGGCTTAATTATATCAAAACGTAATCAAGACTTCATCCAACAATTGGTTCCATCAACCCTAGATTAGAGGTTTAGCTATGCATAATCGTGTTCACAATCATAATGATATAATTCATTCTCAATGATAAAAACAAGAAGAAGAAAGGTAAAAAACTCTATGTTGAATCTTCCGCCTTGCTTCTTGCCTGTTCTTGCCTTTAAAAACACTTCAAAAACCTCGATATCCTCTATTTGGGCGAGCCGGGCTTATTATAGGTCAAGGAGAGTCGTCCTGGAAATTACACAATTGACCTTGCAATGTTTGGCTCCGAACACCCCGTCCGCAGCCGTGGATGGACCGCGGATTGGCCGCGGATTCAACATATGTTCTGGCCGCGGATTTCCTCCTTGCTTTTTCTTCTCTTTTTCGATCGTGTTGTCCTCCGATTGGCCTTCCATGCTCCATATTGACTCCAAAACACTCTTTTAGCTTTCTCCTAGCTCGGAGTGGCTCCTGCAAAGCAATAAACTCGTAATTAGAGTATTTTGTTATCTTTTACAATCAAACATAGATAAAGTGTGGCTAAATTATAGTGTAAATATTAGCTAACTTGCATGATTATCATCTATTATCAGTACTAATTTACAAACGTTCAATTTTTTTTATTCCCCGTAAATTGTGTGCTTCACTTAAAAGAAGCGTGGCTTTTTTTCTCGCTTTTCACTTCAAACCCCATGGTCCTTATTGCTTTTTTGCACTTTTCGCTATCACTGGTTCGAGTAACCAGAAAGTTCTATTCTTGTTCTGCATCCAAGTTTCGCGGTCTTATCGTTTTCAGCATTTTTTGTAGAATTGCAGAAGGAAGTGATGTCGGGGCATGAAAACTATTTTTGACCTTTTTAGGAGGGATTTTATATGTCAGGCAAAAATTACGTGTTCACAATGTTCGTTACTCAAAAGTCACTTTTCTTTCTTTTGTTACACAAAAAATATTTTACTTTGCTCTAGGCACCACAAAAGTCACCTTGGCCAGATTTTATAATATTTTTACTTAAAAAATCTATTATACCCTTGACATAATATAAATTCTCTCATTTATGTAATACCTTTTATATTATATACTATATAATAAATTTTACCTAATTATTTTTTAATAACACCAAAGTCAGTAAAACTATTTTTTAACAATAAATTCCTCCGCTTTGTCTAAGTATCACATAAAGTGACTAGGAAAAATCAAATATAATATTTTAGTACAATAAAGTTAGATTGATTAATCATCCATGAAATTACTCCATTAATCCTAATATATTAACCTGAAAAATAGAGTATTAACTAACTATAACTAATTAAAACCGCATTACTAGCGAAAGAAATATTTGCGTTATCAGTACATGTAACTTAAACCGTTAAATGTTAATCAATACCCCTAATAAACTATAATGAAGTGATTAGTCAGGGTTTTTTTTTTTTTTTTTGTGGGGGGGGGGGGACCGGAGGTATAGGCGGTGATATGGGGGGGGGGGGTAGGGGAGGGGAGACTAGTAGCAAATGTGCATATGCAGTTGCATGTGTAAGCAATAATAATAGTCGGGCATGGTCTGGACTTTGGAGTATTTTTTTAGCTCATTACTGCAGTCAAAGTGTTATCTCTTTCTTCTATAAAAATAACAATTCTTCAATGGTCCCAAGATTTACCCCACGTGCCCTTCTTTAAATACCAGCTATAATCCATTACATTTATGTGATTGATTGATTTATGCGGTTGTTACAACTTTTTTACTTATATTAATTTTAGAAACACTAAGAACTGTAATTATCATTTACTGAAATTACTCTCATCATATTGCCTTCTTTCTGTCTTTTGACTCATTTCTGGCCCCAACTCTGGAGAAATCATCCACAGTTCCAAGCTATTCTTTGACTATGATTCTTCATTTACCCTACTTTTATTCATTTCCTTCAGTTTCTTTACCTTTAGTTTTTTGCAGCTTTAGAAGAAGAATAGAAAAAATCTGGAATTAAAGAAAATATTGTGGGGTAACAGATGTTGACATAGAAAATGACAAGTTAAATGTAGAAGAACGGCATTTTTTTTCGGAGCATACATATAGGGCCATATTTAAGTTGTTTCCTATAAAGCATATGAGATATTTATGACACGTAGAGTTAGGTAGTTCAACTTAGTTAAACCATCAATCTTCTTTCTCACCTTCAACAAACTAATAATATATGTAAAAAGCATATTATAATATATACAAAAATCATAGTTGGATCAGCATTACCTCACGGGTGTTATAATTTTTAACCAGCCCAAAATTAGTTACATAAAGACACAACAAATTAAATAAAAGACACCAAACTAAACCGTACAAATAGCTGAAGTACAAACAGAAAAACGTTAAAGCTAAGATTCCAACGCTTCGTATATCACGACAAAGCATGGAAGTATTGCCCTTGGATTAAATACGTATAATTCCTCGAGATTCGAGTAGATCCCCGCGTACCCGGCTACAGAATCGTATATGGCTGAGCCATTTGCCAACAAGCCAGAGCCAGAACACGTCTCCTCCTCTGTTGTTGGCGAAGCCACCGCGTCTTTCACCGTCTGCTTAACTCTTCCGGCAATGACCCGACACACCAACATCGCCCTACGTTTGGCGATGCCGCTACCTAGGCAGTCGTGGGCCCGCCCGCTACTAGCAGTAGTGCGGACCCCACTAGTTTTGCTTCCCTGAAACCCATGACGTATGAGATTGCAAACTCCGCAACTAGGTACGGAGCCGCACAAGCTGGACGAGCCACGTGCGCCGAGAGAGCAGGTAAGGCTCGTGCAGTAAAATCTAAGTAGCTCATTTCCGTCAGCGGCGCATCTTGGGTTTTTCTTGCCTGTAGCGACCGCATGTATCTTTACGGCGTCCCTGCAGTCCTCGAACCGTTGGATTGTGCGTTTGGTATTGTGGACTTTTAATATCCGTTCGATCTTGCAGATTGGGTTGTCCTTCTTGAGCCAGCTTGATTTGAAGATTATCTCCACTATGTTTCGACTTGAATCTTCTGGACCCAGTTCTGACACTGAAATTGCAAAATCTTTTGTTAATAATCTTAATTTAGTATTATTTCACAATATTCTAAATTGACAGTTTGCTTTTTGACAACAATATATGTACAATCAATAAATTGAGTCCCAATTCTAGAAATTAAATGCAATCAATTATATGACAATAATCCTAATTATATTCAGGTCGATTTCATCTGACAACAATATGTGACAAGAAAGGAAAATAATTTAATGGGGCTTTACTTCTAGTTGGTAAGCTATCAAATCTTACTGGTCAACCGGCAACGATTATGTTCAGATCTCTTTATAACAGTATTTCTATATACTAATTTTTCACTATAAAAATTACGTTTTTCTCAAAATCAATTTTTATGCTATATTATAATATGCGTCTTCTATAACAACATTTCACTATAGCAGGCAAAAAATATTGCAGTGATATTTGACTGTATAGGTGTTATTAACTTATTATAAAATTAGTTAGGAATAACTAATAAGCTTCTCCAAAATTAGTACTAGTATGGCAAATTATTGGAACTCAAATAACAAAGCAGATAAGAAAACTATCTTTATTAAGTAGAGTAGGCTACCAAATGCTTATAATCTAAAGATAAGTATCCCAGAAGAAAGATTCGATCCTTCCTTTGTGCATTATGTTTGGCTTAAACAAAAGAATATTTTCAATATAAAACAAAAAAAAAAAAAAGTAATTTTAGTAGGAATAATTTCGAGTGTCGGTGTGTCAATAATAAAAAGAAAAAAATAATTATGGCCAATTAAATTTTCCTCCACGTAATACTGTACAGTTTTTTTCAATTTTATGAAGAGGTAGTTGGAAAATATTTAGTAGATGGTCCTTTAAATATTTAAGTGGTGTAGTACAGTGACTGTTCGTCAAAAGAAAGGCAAGTATTTATGAGGGGGTTCAACCAATGTATGATAAAATATATTTAACATTTAACGTACTTTAACATGGTTTTTTTTAATGGACAAATTCCCATGGCTAAATTGCATTACCAATGCCGTTTTGCTTCCACTAACAAAATTTGAACTTTCCCCGACACAATTCAAAGTTTAAATATTTTTATAAACCTTGTCTCTTGTTATAATTATAAAGATCGAATCATGATTTTTCAAAATTAATATGAGCAAATAAAGAAGGAATATGATGGATTCACTTCTATTCATGGAAGCAAGAAACCAAAGTAATTTCTCAAAAGATTCACTAAATTAAAAAGGTCGATCAAATGCTAAATAAAATGAACATGAATATAAGTAGAAAGAGTTTAACTTATATACAATATAAATAATTTTAAATTATTAGTATAATTAAATATACTATAGCATATTATCTGCCTTATTTTTCAGTTAACTATTAGCATCATTTATTATAGATAATTATCCATACTAATTTTTTTTAGGTGATATGATAATTCAAAGGAAGTAAAAGATTTACCAGCATGCCTAACAGCTTGATGATGTTCCAAGCTCTCAATTTTTGGGAAAACTTCTCCACATTCAGGGCATGCACATATTGTTGACCTTGGTAACGGATGCCTATAATTTTAAATTTAATTTCACTCATTAATATATAGCAAGATAATCACAAAGAAATCCATTAATACAAGGTAAGAAAAAAAAAAAGAAAAAAAAACATATACCTGCTAGGATCAACTATCATGTGACACTCATAACATCCAGAAAGCTTTCGAAATTGCATTCCTCTTGAAGAAGAAGTAGTAGTAGTATACGTGGAACTAGTACTACCGTTTGATCTAGCAAGAGACCTCGAAGAAGATGATTGGCCATGATGATGAGAAGTTTTATTCTTGCTTAGAATTCGAGTTTCTTGTCCTAAACTGCTACTTTCTGGTGAATTATCAGCTCTGTGTACCACTCTTGTGTTTCCATGTACAACATCCCTGATATTAAAATATAACATAATTAAAGATTAAAAATACGCTTTCTCTAACAGTTTAATCTTCTAGATGAGATATTTAATATAATCAGTAGTGGAATCACATACAACGAATAATGGTCAATTGAACACCCTTCAACGAAAAATTATATATAGTGTATACAGAAAATTATATCAAGTATATATGTCAAAAATTTAAAATGTCAAACATTACTCGTTTTATATAGAAAAATTTCTGATTTCGCTACTGAATATAATGTTACTAGTCGAATAAACAAAAAAAAAAATATTATGTAACTTTTAGATAAGATAGTCACAAAATATAATACCTGAAAGTACAAATGGAACTGCAAGAACCTAACTTGGAATTTTTGGAAGCGGGATCATGAACTGTTGAGTTCTCGATTTGTTTGCAAGTCAATAAGTTCTTGAATTGATCCCATGAAGATGGTTGCTTTTGTTTCTCCTTCTGCTGTTTAATTTGCTGTTTTTTCCTCCTTTTAGAAGGTTGTTTTTGGGTATTCTCTGATGTTTCTGGTGTAAAAGTTAAGAGTGCCATAAAAAGTAGAGCTAGAAAATGAAAAAGAAGAACTATTGTTGAAGAAGAAGAAGAAGAACTTCTCTTCTTCATATGAGAAAAGATAGAGAGAGAGAGAGAGAGTTTTTCTAACTTTTTATGTTACTTTGAGTGTAAAGAGTGAGTTGTTTCTTTCTTTTTATTAATGGAGAGGGATCCAAGAAGGAGTTGGGCTTCTTTACTATCTACTCCCTCTACTGTATTTAATATTCCATTTGCTGGTTCTTAGCACAAACATGATGTATTTGTCTTTTTTTGTCTTATGTAAAACTTAATTAATCTATAATCTGTACTTATCCAAGTGATTTGCCCTACTAATCTCAACCTTTCATTAGATTTGACTTTTGGCATGTAAGACCAAGTGAATTGATAGTTGATCAACCATGGTTAAGTCTACACTATGAAGTGATACGCATTCAACTTTAAAAATGTTTACTGCCGGTTTAAGTTGATTTCCTTTTAAAGGTTTCATTAAACTTAACACACACGCACATACTAGAGTCAACTTCAATATCTCTTCAACTTATTTTTTCGTTTAATAAATCAGGTTAAAATACTTTCATGGGCAGAGCATGAGATTTAACTAATATATATCGACAATACAAAAGCTATTTATATATTATATAGCTGGTCATCTATCTTATTTTTCAAGTACTAATTTCGCTTACTAGAAATATTTACTAATTGTAATTATCTGTTTGGTGATTTAATATTATAAAAATTCTTTTACATTGTCGATGTATACAAATTAAATTCCGATGCATATGGCCCGGTACAAAACCAAAAAAATTGTGCGTACAAGTGTGGCTAGTTTGGTGTCAATCAATACTCATGAATAGGCATGTACTTTATGCTTGGTAGTATATGGGTCAAAAGTTATCTCTAATATGATCAAACCATATTAACATTAAGGAGGCATTCACGGACTGCCGTGTGTTATTAGTACGACTTCAATAAAGACCCGCCCAAGGTCGAAGTGGTTCTAGAAGCAATGAAGGTTGCGGTCGAAGAGTTATCAAGGATCAAAGTCGAGGTCGACATCCAAGACAGGGTTATAACGACTACTTCTAGGACAGGACACAAAAGATAATATTCTAGTGGATATTCTCTGTACTATTAGAATTTTTAGGAATATGTTTCCTATAAGTAGAAAAAGACACGATGATAGGAGATATAAAAAATATTAATTTGTAAGAATACACATGGACTTCATTGAGAGAATCTGACCCTATTGCAAACATCTGAAAAATACTATTACTAAGATTCTTGCCTAACTTTTCCACTTGATCCAAGAACAATTCAAATGTTCAAAGGCTCGTCAATAATTCATTATTGTCATAAGGAATATCAACAGATCTCACCCCTTTTCGGGTAACTCATATGTTCGTGTTTACAGAAATACCATCCATTGCTATTTCTTATTATTTAACATTATCTTCCATCTTTTTGGATCATTGAATACTGTTATTATTGCTCACATGCATTACCATTCGAATAAACATACATATTATTTGTCATAAAACCGACAACCTTATCATTTGGATATTATTGTGAGCTAAGATTGACTCTATTTTACTTAAATGTAATTGGTTGAACCCAGATTAGAATGTTTGGGTCAAATAGTTTGGCGCCTTCTGTGGGGACTTCTTAGCTTACTTTATACTCTAGTTTCCTTTAGATCTACAACTCACGTGAGTCACTAACATAACAAACCACATGATCTTTCTCTTTCTTTGCACGCATGAAAATCTACATGGCTGGTAACCAAGGAGATAGGACTAAAGTGACAGGTGACTTCCATGGCAACCTCATGAACGCTATCAACGAGAGTTATGAAACGCTAGGCGACGGCGTGACACCCGTTGCCTCCCCCAGGCGCGAGAGGCCGCCTCCCCCTATTGCAGCATAACAAAACCGAATGGAAAAGGGGCCTCCACATCCACGGGAGAAGGTACTCCACCAGCCATGAAAAATCTCCTCGAAGCATGGTTGACTGATACGCTAGTAAGCGTGCTCAACAAACCTGCTCCATGCACGACCATAGAGACTGCAAGAGCCCATACAGTGCAACGAGTGGACGAACAATGCGACCAACCAAACCCTCCAACACCAGGTATAACTCACAATAATACTGACAATGCAGGTGACAACGTCCTCGCCATTATTCTAAAGAAGATGGAAGAAATGGAGAATGAAAATAAAGCGCTTAGAGATCAAATGAAAGAATACCAAGAACGAGTCGAAAAGATTCCAGGCGCCCCTAAGCTACTGCCAAAGAGACACGTCGGTATATTCGTAGAGCAGCCGTATAGCGAAGGAGCGGCCCCGCATGTCATACCAAAGACCTTCAAAATGCCGATGTATCTCAGGATGTACGACGGAACAACTGACCCCGAAGATTACGTGACTCATTACGTCACCGTCGTGAAGGGCAACGACCTCACCAAGGAACAAGTGTCATCTATTTTGCTAAAGAAATTTGGTGAAACTCTCACAGGAGGAGCATTAACGTGGTATTCATAGATACCAACCCGTTCCATAGAAACCTTCGAAGAAATGGTTGATAAGTTCGTAACAGCACATGCCTGGACCAAGAAGGCCGAAACAAGAGTAAACAACATCTTCGCCATTAAGGAGTCCTTGGGAGTAGGGGTGGGTATAAAATCCGAAAAACTAAATTCCGAACCGGACCGAATTAATTTGATATTTCGGTTTCGGTTTTTTTCGATATTTCGGTCTAATTCGGTATTGCAATTTCGGTATGGTCCTCGGTATTAAAGTTTTGAAATTTTGGTATACCGAAATACCGATTTTTTAAAGACATTTTCTGCCCATCGCCCCAGCCCCAACGCCCAACGCCCAAACCCTTTTTAATTTAATTCCCAGCAGCTTCCCAGCCCAACTGCCCAAGCCCACTCTAATGATTAGGGCATTACTGATTAGGTTAGGCCATTAGCAATTTAGCATAAGGCAGTACAGTTGAGTGGGGATTTGGCGATTTCCGATTTTCGAGCTCCGACTCCTCACTCCTCACAAATACCGGGCAAACGAAGACGCTGCTGTTGCGAACTTGCGATAGTTTCAATTTTCAAAGGTATGTTTCTACTTTCTAGCGATTTCTACTTTCTAGCGAACTTGAGATTTGGCGATTTCTCATATACACTCAATTCCTATGGCTAATTCTTGTTTACAAGTGATGATTAAGTGTCTGCAAGTGATGATTGAAAGTGAAATTACTATGAAAAATTGGGATTGGGCGTGAAACTTTGAACTTTGATATTGTAGCTGATATTGTAGATGATATTGTAATTTTGGTTGGGGGAATTTACTCAATTCAAAGTTGTAAAGTTTTCCTTTCTACTCTATGATTATTTCGGGTACATAATTTAAAAGAAGCGGCACGGAGCAATTTAGATTTTAGAGTTAAAAGTGTCAATTTTCTGACTAATTATAATCATATGGAGTAGCAATCATAATTAGTCAATGCATTGTCCAAGTCAGAGGGTAAAAAACTGATTCTTGATTTCTCTCCAGTGTTGGAAGATTCTCACTTTCTCAAGAAAATGAAAATTCAAAAGGACAAAAAATAGGAGACTATAATATTGGTGAATATGCTAAAGAATCTGGATTTCCTAAATAGTATAGTTGAATTCCAGCTAAACAGTATGCTTAAGATTACGATTGAATAAATGTGCAAAACATGAGTCTGTAAGAACAATACATTTATAATCTACACATCTTTGGAAAATAGTGCTCAAATGGTTACACTCTAACTTTGCTTTTAGATGCTGCAAGACCTAAAACTTGTTGATTGTTAATTTGTGTTTATATTTGTTTAATTTTGTATAGATGGCAGATACAAGTAGAGTAAGTGATGCTGGTTCAAGTGAAAGTTTACCTATTATGGTAGATAGTAACACCAACACCATACTCAAGATTCCAAGAAAAGGAAAGCCATGCAACCTAGGTCTGACGTTTGGAACCATTTTGATAAATTTGAGGTTAATGGGGTTGGGAAAGCACGGTGTCGATATTGTAAGCAAGCTTATGCTGCTAATTCATCTAAGAATGGAACAACAGAATTGAAGAATTATTTGCTTAGATGCAAAGAATACCCACTTAGCATTGATAAAGATAATAATCAAACAAAGTTAAATTTTCAATCATGCCAAAATGACAAAGGATCACTTTGGAAATTTGATCAAGAAGTGGTTAGGAGGGCCTCAATTGAGATGATAGTTATTGATGAACTACCATTTAGCTTTGTAGAAAATGAAGGCTTTATGAAGTTTATGAGAAAAACTCAACCACTATTTCGTCTTCCTTCTCGTAGAACAATAACAAGGGATTGTTATGAAGTTTATGGTGAATTGAAGCAAAATCTAAGAAGGTCTTTTAGAGAATCACAACCAAAAATTTGCCTCACAACAGACACATGGACTTCATTACAAAGAATAAATTATATGTGTTTGACAACCCACTTCATTGATAGAGATTGGAAGTTGCATAAAATAATACTAAATTTTTGCCCTATCACTAGTCATAAGGGTGAAGAGATGGCTAAAGCTATTAGGGATTGTTTTCTTGAATGGAAATTAGACAAGGTTTTCACTATTACCGTGGACAATGCTTCTTCAAATGATGTCACAGTCAAAGAATTGTCTAAACAGTTAGATATGTGGAAAACTAATATGATGAGTGGTAAACATCTTCATGTGAGATACATGGCTCATATACTAAATCTAATTATGCAAGATGGTTTGAAAGAACTTGATGCTTCTATGACACGTGTTAGAAATATTGTGAGGTATGTGAGATCTTCGCCTGCAAGGACCTTAAAGTTTAAACAGTGTTGTGCACATGTAAAGGTAGAATGTACCAAAACGTTGTGTTTGGATGTTCCTACTAGGTGGAATTCTACCTATTTGATGTTGGATACGACACAAAACTTTGAAAAGGCCTTTGACAAGTTTCATCTTTTTGATGATGGATTTTCTGCTTATCAATGTTCTCATCTTTGTGAAGATGGTAGTAGTGCAGGTCCTCTTGAATCTGATGATTGGGTGAATGTGAGGAATGTGATAGAGTTTCTTGCAAGATTTCACGAGCTAACTAAAAAAGTTTCAGGTTCACGTTATGTCACTTGTAATTCTCATTTTGAGGATGTATCTGAAC